AGAATGGCCTCAAATACACTTAGGTGAGGGCCCAGTGTTTGCCATTCCAGTCTTATTGCCCATTATGGTAATTATGCCCACTTTGTTTCCAACAGTTAAGGGCTACCACCTTTTTTCTGCTATTTTGGAATCTAATCACCTTCACTGACACTAGGGAGCCCAGTGCTATAGCACCATGTCCTGCCATCAACCCTAGCCTACAAAGACAGCCACCGTTGAGGCCCCAATGCTGCCTGCTTTGCTCTGACTAGTGCATTTCTTACTGCTTGAGTGAAGACAGCGTCCTCTAGGACCTCCAGAGAAACAGGGTCAGCGGTGGTTTCTCTGGTCTTTTGTAATAAATCCATTCTAACATGCCTTTCCTGAATATTCTGATCCCCAAATTCACTTCTCTGCCAAAGTAGTTCTAACAGCTCCACCTCAATTGTCATAGTCCATCAACATTTCCAAGCCTCAAAGATGCAATAATTCCAGCAGCATGTTAGCATAAGCGCTGGGCATCTCTGCAAGAATGTTAAATCTTGAGCACCAGCTTGTTAAAAAGCTTTCCCCTGTATAATCTTAGATTCTATGTCTCCTGATCCAGTACCTCAAGATCTATTCCCATATTCTCCTGGCTCCTGATAGCATATATTAGCTTCCAAAGCTTTCTTGATCAATGATCCAGTTCCTCTCACACTAAGAACAGTATAGCTCCCCTTGGGCCATTTTGAGGACTGACCTTAGTTATTGGTCTAGATGCAATGGTGGGGAGTTAAGAAGAGATCTTCAGGAGGATAAGCATAATCTTTGGTGAAGATTGTGGTCTCCAGGCAATGAGAGGCCGCTTTCATCTAACAAAGGGTAAGGAATGAGTTCTGCTTGCCCAGAGTGTCCATGAGACACTCAGGATTTAAGTTTTCAAATGCTCCCACTCAAATGGCCTCATTCAAAATCTCAGGATAACACTTCTTACCTAATAGGACCTCTGATTTTTACATAGGAACCATACCAAGCTCTAAATTCAGTAATATTTATAATCGTGCACATTTATGACAAATCCTGGGTATTATTTACAGCACAGTCGGTAGGATGAGATTCTTTTTAAACATTGTCACGCAGGTCTTATGACTTTCATGCCACGCCCAGGTTATTTGACCTGAGTCTGTCATTTTCTTTCCTCTTGGTTTCTTCACCAGTTAACTAACTTCATAATTCTCATATCTCTAATTCAAACACTAGAGCTATTATATAAGCCAGGGCACCACTTCCACCTGTACCTCATCCTAACACACCACAAGTGAGAGTCTTAGTTGATGATGTTGCAGCACACCAGTTGTCACAGATACACTGGCTGCAGCTGTGAGTCCTAGTTGCTGTCTAACAAGTGACTGATCCAATTCTAAAAATCACATTCCTCGGATCTGCCTTTTAAGGGAGACTTCTGTTACCAACTGTCGGAAGCAGACCCTGAGACAAGGATTTGAGTCTAAGCAGTTTATTTGGGATGTAATCCCAAGATCTGAGTGCATGGTGAAGGAGTGGAAAACTGCAACAGGAAAGGGATAAGAGCAACCCATACATTAATGAGTGCGTGACCCTGTGGGCAACCCAGGACATAGTTCTACTGTGAACTCTCTGAGAGACAGTCAGACACCTCCGAATTGTCCCATGAGGATTGGGGAAGCTGTGAGGTTTATTCATAAAACATCTCTTATCATTGAAGAGTTGCTTCCAGATGTATTAACTCCCTCTTGCTCCCAGCCTGCTCCATGAATGGGCCGTGGATACTCCTGTAAACTGGAAAGCCATTAGTGTGTATAGGAATTGTCACCAGTATACAGAAGAAACATTTGCATTTAATCCTTGCTTCAACATCTGTTTTCTAGGGAAACTAGGTACGGTAGGTGCTGATGGCCCACCCTCCATCCCCTTGTCCCACCTGAGTTCACCGGCAGCTGCAGGAGACAGTGTCCGTGCTCTGACAGTTTCCCGCTTCAAGTGTTGTATCTCACTTCTCTTCCTGACAGCTTTCTCCTGTACCATGGAGGAATATTCTGAGGTGTGTTTCATATGACTTCTTAGAGAGTCCACAGGGGATGACCCCAATAGCCCACAGTGGAAACTTGCTCATTAATATGCTCTTTTTTGTGCTTTCCAAATAAACTATCTCCACCTAAATCCTGGTCTCAGCATCTGCTTTTTGGGGAACCCAAATTAAGACAGTAGGTAAGACTCTATGTTTGTTCTAAGGAGGTTAATTCTACCCACTAATCTTGATACACAGTAGTCTCCGCTTACCCGTGGTTCGCTTTCCACAGTTTCTGTTACCCATGGTCAACCACTGTCTGAAAATTTTAAATGGAAAATTCCAGAAATAAACAATTCATAAGTTTTAAATTGTGTGCCCTTCTGAGTAGTAATGAAATCTCACACCTTCCTGCTCTGTCCCACCTGGGACATGAATCAACTCTTTGTCCAGTGTATCTATGCTGTATATACTACCCGCCTATTAGTAGCCATCTCCATTATCTGATCAACTGTTGCGATATCACAGTGCTTGTGTTCAAGTAACCCTTACTTTACTTAATAATGGCCCCAAAGCGCAAGAGTAGTGCCGCTGGCAATTCGGATATTCCAAAGAGAAGCCATAAAGTGCTTTCTTAATTTAAGTGAAAAGGTGAAAGTTCTCAATAAGAAAAGAAGAAAAAATCGCATGTTGAGGTTGCTAAGATCTACAGTAACTTTTATTACAGTATATTGTTATAATTGTTCTATTTTATTATTATTGTTTTTAATCTCTTACTATGTCTAATTTATAAATTAAACCTTATTATCGGTATGTATGTATAGAAAAAAACATAGTATACATAGGGTTCAGTACTATCTAGGGTTTCAGGCATCCACTGGGGGTCTTGGAACATACCCACCTCGGATAAGGAGGGACTACTGTATTTGATGGATCCAGCCCTAATTAACTCAGTCAACATAAAATGACAAGCAGCTTTTCCTACAGTTAGAAATATTGCAAAAGGTACAGCTTCTTGTAAAAATTTACAAGTAAAATAATGTGACTCTAACAAATTAAATTTAAAATATAATGCAAAATCTTAATTTACCAGTAAAGCAGTGAACAATGGCTTATTCAATAAAGTGTATTGGGACAACTGGCTAGCCATTTGAACAAACGTATGGTTAGATTCCTATTTCACTCCTTATAGCAAAATAACATCCAAATTTAAGCATTAAACTGAAGCCAACATAATCCCAGAAAATAAAAAGGATTCTCTCAAAGTAATCTCAAAGAAAAATATAAAACCCAGTAAATATAAAAGAATATTAGATTGATAAATTTGACTATAATCAAATTTAACTTTTTTTTTGTTTTTACAAAAAGCAAATTCAAAAGAGAGTCAATAACTAGGAGCAGCTGCCTTTTGTCTCCATATGGACATGTATGTTAAAACATGTGCCTTTCTCTGATTTATCTTCTAAAACCAAGTTTAATAGATTGTCTTGGTTCACGCTTCCCTGTTTCTATGGCTCCACTAGATGGCCTTTTCTTCTTTCTACGCCTGGCTGGTACATTGTTAGCCTCTCTCCTCATCTGTTCCTAGAGTGCATCAAAGGGATGACCACAAAGTGATCGGAGCACACAAGTGGAACACCTAACATTTCACAAGGAAATGCCTTTCCAAAGATTTGACGTTTAACCTCCCTTGAGAGAAAAATAGGAGTTTTCTAGGGTGGCGGGGGTGGGGGGTAAACAGTATTTTGGGAATGGGAATTGCACGTAGAGTTGTGCAGAGACACGACACAGCCAAGTATACTCAAAACAGAAAATAGCCAGAGGATGCAAAGTGTGCAAAGCATAATGGAAAATGATATCAAAAAGGTCACTTGACACAATGTACAAAGAGTGCCATTCAGAAGTTATTGGGACCACATACAGAGGGTATCTGATTAGATATGTGTTTTCAAGACACGATTTCCAAAAACACTGAGAATAGACTGAGAAGACAAATTGGGGACAAAGAGACTGGTGAAGGGCAAGTACCAAAGATAGCATTACAATACACATATTTTAAATATCCAAAGTTCAATTTTGAGCAAGAGCTGTAGCAGTTTTAAAAAGAGGACCAAAGTATTATTTTTACTTTTCCTAATTAATTTCATGTAATTAGTAATCTATTCAAATTAGTTACTTCATTCAAATATTTATTGTGCATTAGGCACCGTTCTAGGTATTGGGATACAACAGTGAGCAAAACAGATAAAAAGAACCCTGCCCTCATGGAGATTATATTCTGGTATTCAAAGCAAATACTCCAAGAGGATACCCAAACTGTCAAATGAAGGCAAAGAGTTAGAGCAGACAAGCTTGACTAGGAAGCACAGAGGGAACAGGGTCAAGAGTTTTTATTAAACAAACAACAATTTGTTTACACTTTAACAAGAATTCATTTCTTTCTCTCTTCTGGTTACCAAATAAACCCAAGAGGTTGGGCGGGACAAGCAATGTTATCATCCTCCTTTTCAGATTTTGGAGCAGAAGGTTAGAAAATTTAAGTAATTTTCCCAACTTTATTACATCTCTTTTGATAGCAGTAGGCACTGTCACTACAGGGAATCCCGTTCTGCACATATCCATGTTCTGGGCACCGATGGGATGTCCCATCGCACCACTCTGGAAGTCGCATTCATTGAACTGATGTCTACAGAGTTCCCCTGATGGCATGAACCTGCAGTTCCTGCTGCTTCTATGCATGTCATTGGGAAAACATTTCCATGATTCCAAATCCCAATCCAAATCCAAATCACATAAGTACCCAACTGCTGATAAATGAAATCAACTATGTTGACAAATACATCCTCTGCACCTTTGAGAAGTTACTTTGGGAGTAAACAGAGAGACAAGACTCATCCCTGGGTCCTCACGTGTCTGTCTCCTGCCTTTCCCATGAGTCATATTCGAGCTCAAGAAACACAAAGAGAACTAGCAGGGGGCGGGAAATGGAGCTTTATTTGCTGCTTACAACAATGAACAGTAGATAGGAGGATGTTAGGAATTACCTTTGCTTGATGGCAATGTTTCTGATACTGATAGAAGGGAAGTTCTCTGTATTTCTCTGTAAACTGTCAGAAATGTGCTCAGTTTTAGACATGTAGTAACATTTCTACTGCCAACAGACTAAAAGTTAATAACGCAGAGGATGTTAAATTAGAGGCATTTTCTTAACCTGAAGAATGAGACTTAGTCTCCTTGGGACCAAAATGTTTTAGACGGTACATAAATAAAGCAGTCAACAGTAAAAGCAAAACAGATAAACTAAGAATCACAACGAGTGGCGAGAAAACTCCTCTTCTGGCAGATGCTGGGCCACTGTCAACACTACCTCCATAGCCTCTGTGCAGGCAGTAGGGTGGGGACCACCCATAGGTGCAGTGGCAGTGATGTTTATTATTGCAGATCCCCTTCATGTTGCAGGTCTCAGGCAGGCAGACTTGTGACAGGAGAGACAGACTGACACACTTCCTGCGTATGCAGATCTTTCCTGGCCCACACATGGTGCCATCTTTCACTTCACCAATATCAGGTGTGTCTGTCCCTAAATGATAGCCGATACCCCAGCAGGTGACACCATTGATATGAGTGTGCTGCAAAGTAGAGTGATCTCTCAGATGGGGAATGTCTCCCACATTCTCACACTGAACCCTCCCACAAAAGATATCTGAAGTATTACATTTTAAGTATGTTGTGCCACTTATACCACAGTGGCCAAAATGGCTTCCCTGGGAGTTGATTTCTTTATAGCAATTCTGAGATGCACTCTTTGTGCCTTCACCAAAAATCTCCCTGCACTGATCATCATGGTTATTACATCTCTTTTGATAGCAGTAGGCACTGTCACTACAGGGAATCCCGTCCTGCACATATCCATCTTCTGGGCACTGATGGGATGTCCCATTGTGCCATTCTGGAAGGTCGCATTCATTGACCTGATGTCTACAGAGTTCTCCTGGTGGTATGAACTTGCAGTTTTTGCAACAAAGCCCAAAAGCACAAGCAGCCCCAGGCCTCAGAGTGCAGTTCAACAGACAACAGGGATCTTGTTCACATTGCTTTATAGATCCACAGTCACATTCTTCTTCTCCTTCAACCACACCATTCCCACAGCGCTTCAGCACAAAGACTTCCCCTGGACTTGGAGGACTGTGCAGACATGATCCTTGGTTTAAGATGGTCTTTGTAAAATCTGCATAACTACAATTGGTGAATCTCTCTGCTGGCACTCTGACAGCATTCATGATGCAACCACCTTGTCCACACAAACAGAATTCTTCATCATGTCGCATACCCAAAGTATGACCTAACTCATGGGCCACCGTGAGGGCAAAAAGAGACCAAGAGTCTCCTTGGAAATTATTAACTCCACTATCAATAGGAGGATGACATATTCCTGCAACATAGGCTATACCAAGTACAGGTATAAGTGAATTTTTTATGAAAATATGTGCAGCATCATACTGTAGCTGGGAAAGACTGATTTGTTTCCACTGAGAGAAATCCTCCAGAACCTGTTCTATGTTTATCATTGGGAAAACATTTTCATGATTCCAAATCTCAATCCCAATCAAAATCACATATGTACCCAACTGCTGATAAATGGAATCCACTATGTTGATAATAAGAAAAACATCCTCCTGCACCTTTGAGAAGTTACTTTGGGAGTAAATGAAGAAATTGTGATCTACCACCACAACCAGCTCCAGAAACAATGAGTGGGTCCACCAGTTAGCAGAATTTTGTTTCAGAGTTGATTTCTCAGCCTTTTCAAATTCCAACTGTTGGTGTGCTATTTCCTTCTTTGTTAAGCCACATCTCATAGGTGGGAATTGTGTCTTGTTAGTGTTTACCTTATAAATCAGGTGTTCAAATGTGCTAGAGTGCCTGATGGGCTCGATTTCATAAGCAAGGTCATTTATCTGTAGTGTTCCACGAAAGCCCCCAGAACAGGTACTGAGGGCAACCAGGGACTCGGGGACCCCCTCTACATAACCATGATAGTAGCAGTCATCAGGAACAAAAGGCTGATCTTGGAGGAGAGCGTGCTGGTCTGTGTAGGTGAACACCGGGAGGTGTCTGGAAACCAAGAGCTTCTTGACCCTCATGTGGACAACATGTCTCCAGCCCCCAAACTGCAGGCTGTAGGAGAGCCAGCCTGGAGCCTTTGCACCTCTGCCCCTGTTGGTCACCTTCAAGGGGATCACCACTTCTAGAAAGCTGAGGCATTGGGAGGACCCAGCCTGGGAGAGGTCAGAAGGGGACAGAGACACCCCAAGCCAGAGCAGGAGGAGAACAACTCTCATGGACACCTCAGCCTCACCAGCCGCCATTATGGAGCCATCTGTCCAGAGGAAAAGAGTGTGAGGTACTGCCGGTCTGCTTCCTCCCTCTCAGCTGGTCATTGTGTAGAGCTGACCTTTAAGGGTCTGGCTCCTCCCTCTGAGCTGGTCACTGTGTAGAGCTGACCTTTAAGGATCTGTGTCCTGGCGGAGTTGGACCATCAGAGCTGAAGTGCTGAAAGTGAAAATAAAAAGAAGGGTGGGGATGGTGGTGAGATTGGGTAAGGAAGATGAGAGAGAGAAAGAATCGAGAGGCGAAAAAGTGATTAATGAATCAAGGAAATGCTTTGGATTTGCTTTCAATAAATGGTGGGAAGTTAGGGAGTATAGATATGACAATATTGGCCATATGTTGATAATTGTCGAAGTTGGATGATAAGTACTTGTGTTTTCATTATACAATTATCTCAATCCATATAGGTGGTATGAAAATCTCCATAGTAAAAAGTTAAAGCAAAAACTAAAGAAACTTCAGAGTGCCGTGACTCTGTATCTCAATTTGTCCAAGACCACGTTGGTTTATCCCTGTTATCCTTGCATAACTATTGATACTTTTCCCCCTTTGACTATCAAAACTGGAGAGGTCAAAAACAATCACAACAATTCTTATGTCAATTTCCATTGGTCTTATAATTGACTTTAGTCTTTCATTATCTCAAGTTATTTACTTGTTTCCTTGCTGTATTCTCCTTCACCCATAACTCTACTGGACTGCAAGGTCAATGAGTGCAGGGTTTATGATTTTAACTCATTTTAGTATTCCCTATAATGCCTGGTGTAGTTCTCTATACAATGAAGAATGGAAAAAAGGTGGAAAGGGTGGTGAAGTACTTAGGTTATAGATGAATGCTACTTAAAATGTATTCATATTTGATTATAATTTTTAAAAGAGGAAAAAAATTCATAAAAGCTGACATCTTCTAAAGGAACAGGAAGAACGATGTTGTTCTCCCCAGTATTCCACCTGTAGGAGAATACTGAGGACAAAAAGAAATGCCTCAAGAAGAGAAAATGAGAATCCATGAAGTTTGAAGACTTGGGAAAAGGAACTCCGTCTCTTGGGGCAAAGGCAGCAGAGTGCCTGGTATTTTAGAATTGCCAGGGAAAATTCCTAATGTTTGCTCAAATATATTTAGCAACAGTTTTTGAAAGTGGAGAATTTCTGTACCTGGCCTAGAGTCTAGCTGTCAACACTCATCCATTTCGTTCCTTATTCATTAAACAAGTATTTATGTGTTTGGAGCGTACAAAGTACAGGACATTGTGCTAGATAGTATGGAAATAAAATAAAAATACAGAGCATTAAATAAATTATCAATTTAGTGCAGAAATTTGTGGCAGGAGCAAGAATAAGCTTTAAGGCGCCTATAACATTGTATTAAATATTTTATATATTATTTGCTGAGGAGTGTGTCCACAGACTTCATCATAGTCTCAACTGAGTGACAAAAATGAGGCTACAAAGCACTGAGCCTGTGGAAAAACAGACAAGCAGTCAGATTCTTATAATCTGATCTGAACCAGATTAATCTGAGGCTAATAAAGTTTATGATTCAGGGACCCTCATTGTACAGACCTCCACAAGCCCCTGGGAGGTGCTTAGCAATGCATTTATGAGGATCATCAATATAAGAGTGTTCAATATTAGTTACTACACAAGAAAATTTGAAATGCCCTGAAATATTACAACTCATATACAAAAGACTTGATAAAGGTTTTCTGAAATTCAACAATAATTTATGTAATTATTTATTTTATTACCAATAAGAAAGTTGTGAAGCTGAATTTTTTTCTAAACTATCAATATAAAGAATAAATTTTTATCAAACATGCTAGGGAAAGGCAATTACTTTTCTGTTCTCTCCAGAGAAAATATAACAAAATAATTCTCGTAAGGGAGGCAATTAAAGAGGAAGCAATTATAAAACTGTAGGGAAAACATAGTACAGAAGTGTGTCAGAAAGTTACTTAACATAAATATTGGGTTTTAAAACTTTTTGTGATCTTTATGGTGTTTTAAAACTTTTAAAAGTTATCATTTGTTGCGAGTTCTTCCTCATGCTAAATAAATGTGTATTTTCATCTATTTTTGCATTTATAATTTTGTATTCTTTTCCTTAAAGTGGCCTCTCCTCTTGTGGATGCAGCAGGCCCAAAAATCTGATTCTATCCCTGACTGTGATAAACTTACTGACAAAGGTAAGTGCAGTTTCTTATGAGAAAACATAGGAAGAACAAATAAACCAGGCTAATCTGAGTAGCCTTGCATGGGAGAGATGAAAATGAAGACACCTGACCCAGTACCAGTCGTCTCCTGGACTCTGAATCCATTCCTATTCAATACTTCCTTTACCCTAAATCAAATTCCTCTATACCATCCCTCCATACAGCTCCCCCTATGACTTCGGCAGTCTTCCTTTGATGACAGAGGAAGAGAGAGAGAGAGAAAAAAAAAAAACCCAAATTCAATCCTCAACCTCTTCACAGAGCTCCCTGTATCTACTTACCTTATTAAACTTGATCTTCAATGGATTTTACTGCTTTCCCTAAAGCTCACTCTAGAGAAACACAATTCTTAGAAGCCCTAGGTACCTCATGGTCCAGAGGCTGGGTTCCTGTTCTCCACAGCCCATGAAGTCAGTTCCAAACCGTTCATCCTGCTACATTTGACTACACTAATTTTTGTGTGTGTGTGTGAGGAAAATCAGCCCTGAGCTAACATCCATTGCCAACCCTCCTCTTTTTGCTGAGGAAGATTGGCCCTGGGCTAACATCTGTGCCCACCTTCCTCTGGGACACTGCCACAGCATGGCTTGACAAGCGGTGCATCGGTGCGCGCCTGGGATCCGAACTTGCGAACCCTGTGCCGCCAAAGCGGAGCACGCTAACTTAACCGCTATGCCACCGCGCCGGCCTGACTACGCTAATTTTTAACCTTTCTCACTCTTCCATCAACTGCTCCCTATCATTCTTGCACAAACTCCAAAGACTTTGACACCTGACTGATAAAATTATTCCCCACCAAAAACCCTACCTTCATCATAACTAATGATAGCTAGTATATAGACAACCATCTGAAAACCAGGAGTTGTTCAACGTTTTTATAACCTCTTCAGTTCATCTTCAATATCCTTCAGTTTAGCCACGCACAGTCATAATCTATGTCTTGCCATCACCAAACAAAACAAAACCATTTCTTATATCCTAAGCAATTTACCAAAAATTTTAATCCTTCCAGCTCTCCCTTACTCCTGCTATACCTATTCCTCAAACTCAAAGAGAACCCAAATACTTTTGTCTTTTATTATCTCCCATTTCTCTCAATCTCATGCCCCTGTCTTCTAGTCCATTCCATTTGAGCCTAGGCTAGCAGTTCCATCACTTCAACCACTTTATGCCAAAACCTTCAACTCCCTAAAGTATTACCATAACGTGAATGTGCAAAACAACAAAAAATTGGATTAATTCTGTCACATACTTTTTGCATTTCTACATCAAAGCTACCACACACTACTGGGGGCAAGGGGAATCTCAAAACAATGTGTTTGTGAAAATCTTAAAAAGGGAATGCACAATTGGAACTGGAATGGTTTGTTCTGGCTGCCCACCCCAAGGGATGGAAGCAAGACGTCAGCTAATATTTCAAACCCTCCTACGCCTTATTGTTATTTTCTTTATTCTCCTCAATATTACATTTACACATCCCTAATATTCTGAGTTTCCTCCTAAGTGTCAGTAGTGTCAGTAGCTGAAAACACGTTCTGATTGCTTTTCAATCACAGAGTTAAATAGTTAACCAAGTAGACTTCATCTTTTCCTTTCCAATATACAGTATTTAAGTTTATCCTTTATCCTAGATTTGCTATGTGGAGGCTGGTGGGGAGGACTTGTTTCAGTCTGAACAATATCCTTAGCATTAACCTGCCTAGAAAGCTTGGATGCATCTGAGCACATTCCACTGCTAATGGATAGGCACTTTATTCCAAGGTGCATGTAGCCCACAAGAGAAAAGCAAAGTTCATAGACAAATTCAACTCTATAAAAACTTCCAAGGACAAAGATCTCTGAATTGGGTGAAATCCTAACTTCCAGATTTTCTCTCTGTATCTCTCATGATATGTTTGTTACTTATCATGGAGTGGGAGTTGTTGTGGATGGGAGGATGGAGAGTGGGAAGGACTAATAAAGACATAGTGTTGTAGAGACGGCTGATAAGCTATATAAACCATATCATATTGATCTTTTTCTTAGAGCTCATCTTGAGAGTAGGCAATAATAGGAAAATACTTCAAAGAATCTCTGATCCACGCTCTTTGTCTCATTATATTATTCCTGGGACCTCAGAGACCCAAACTCCTAAAGGGACATCACTCTACCACAAATACTATGAAATGGTGCCATTAAAAATCCATATTCCCTAACATTATTGGAATCTCACAGTAGGATGACAACAGCCCTCCTCCATATGTTTTATCAACTCTTTCTTCCTTTCCCCACAGCTATTTCAAATTCCTCAAGACCTCTACCTACCCATCTCCTCTCTTACTCTATCATGCCTGAATATACTGTTTTCCCATCTCTCTATCATTAATGTCTAACTCATTAGAGAGTTATGAAATGAATTTAATGGGCCATGACTTCAGTTTTTTCTTTAAGGAAATTGAATAAAAACATTCGAGGACGTTCCTAGAAGTTCCTTAGCAATTCTTACACATATGGTGCCAAAATTTTGTGGGTGTTTGTGTATGTGTGGTCACTAGGTCACAAAATAAAATGGATTTCTTACTCTGGAACACAGTAAAAAATATATCTATAGTGATGCCAAATTCAAAGACAAAATGGTTTCTAGGATTTTTACCATTACAAATCTATCTGAATCCATGCCCATTTCCACCTCTCCTCTACTCCACTCCACATCCCAGACTTGGTGGAAAAGTGATCCTCCTGCAGATTCAGTTAGTAGCCCTCATCTTCTGTTCCAGATCACATCTCCTACCTAGTTGAGGACTGACTCTATTAATTTTCCCTACTCTCAACTCTATTTTTTCCTATTTTAGCTGTTCTTCAGTGGCAATTAGAGTAACAACTCATCCTAGTTTGCCCAGGACAGTCTTGGTTTTAAAACTGAAAGTCGCACATCCCAGCAACCCCCTCAGTCCTAAGCAAAATGGAACGATTGGTTACCTTACCAGCAACACTTTAACCAACGCCCCCCATCCATGCACAAGTCTATCCCATCTTTAAAAAGGAAAACAAAACAAAAATTAATAAACTTCACATTATCCAGTGTACTACTCTGGCTACCAACTTATGCATAGAGCCAAACTTGATGAATGACTTACCAACAGAAGCAACAGTAGTTTCCACGGCCTTTTCTTTCTAGTTAATTTGTACCACACTTATCAATGAACAAAGACTGGTAGCTGAGACCTCACATAACAGAGGGAAACATAAGCCCCCCCTCCTTTTGTCTCTCAGGAGACTAAGTTCTAGATTTAGCTGCTTAGCAACAAGGATCTTTCACTTCTCTAGAAATAATGACTAGTTCTCAAGGATATCTTGCTCTGGCTCCACCATTTCTATACAACTTTATGTCTGACTTCAATATAACTGGAATTGGATAGCCTCCTCAACTCCATTCTATGTCCTCCTACAGTGGGGATTTATTTCTGCTTCATAATTTTGTTCGTGCTGTTGCACTGGCCTAGACTGTCTAATCACTTTTCACTATCAGACTAAATTATAGTAACTTTCTAGCTCAAGATCAAATTCTACATCCAGTATCAAAGCTTTTCTAAATAATCTAGACAACATTGATATTCTGTAATTCCCTTTATAATTACCATATCCAATAAATTTTTGTATTACACAATTTATAACTGTGCTATTTTGTTTTATCTACAAGTTTTTAAGATTGTATCTCCTATTAAACTATAATGTTTTGGAGAAAAATATGCTCAAAATGTTTTGGAAAAGAATTTATGATATAGTATTTGGCAAAATACATAATCTACAACATGATTTCAACTATATAAATATTGCATAGAATAAAAACTAATTCAATAAAATATTAACTCTAACTCTGGGTAGATTCTGTTGTAAAGGGATTCTTGGCCAACAAGCCTTGCCACCTCCTAATTTAACTAGCAGATTCAGAACTCTGTTAGATAACTATCAATTAGAAACATTTTTAATAACAGTCCCCTTTTATTTCCTCTCAGGAAAAGCTTCTTCTGGTTTCCTCAGAAATCTGCTTTGGAGTTTCCTTTTCATAAACTGTTTCATTCATCCAGGGAGAACCAGAGGCACCTCTGTCTTAGGAGGGGTAGATAAAAAAAAGAGGGTTGTCTCTAGCTGAACTCAGTGGATAAAATCTGCTCCTAAACCAGATTTAATTAACAGTGAAGAAAACATACCCCAAGAAATGAGAGAGTAGGAACCTACAGAAGCCCAATCCTGGAAAAGTGTTAGTAGCTAGCCAGTCCCACCAGTAAGCAGAGCAAAGAAATGCAACCCAGGGAGACAGATAACTGAGGAAGACTAGAGTGCCTGCTTCAGACAGACAGAATGGTATCCTGGGAGATCTAGAGGTAGGAAAGGATTGAAAGCTTCCAAAAATAGTTCTGGCTTAATCTCTCTTGCTTTAAGAGGGAGCAATATTTATTTCTTTTTAAAATAGCATTTAGGTCTTCTGGTTCCAGAAAAGGTAGGGTAATAATACTTTTATTCCTATTGCTCCTGATCAGTACAGGTTAAAACACTATATAAAACAAACATAAGAAGGTTCAGAAAGGTGAAGCAAAGAATATAGACCAGCTAGGGACATTGGGATCTAAGGAACAACATGGTGGTGATTTCTCTGCATTTTCTTTTACCCTCATGCAGTCTGGAGAAGCCTGCAACCCTGAAATGAAATAGACACAGACCAAAAAAAAAAAAAAAAGCCCCAAGACAAGTTTGCTCTCTCTATCCAAAGGGCCAAGAAATGAGCAGGCTGGCAAGACAGAAAACTTTCAGAAAATAACCATCCTACTCCAGCCACATGTCATGGGAAAAATTGCACTTCCACATGCATCCTCATCAGCAAAGGCCACATGGGGGGCTCAGGCTTTAATCTCACCCAGTTCTAATGAGGTGCCTCATCCTCCACATTGGGGTGGTGTCAGAGAAGCTCAAATAGAGTTCTGGGACTTTCATTCTCACCATGTAGTAGTGAGGCCACCATTCCACAATGTTAATGGAGACTAGCTGGGCAGCAGTAATGAGGCATCCTTCAACCTCCCAGCCAGGGTGATGACAGCAGAGGCCAAGGAGGGGAAAATGAACTTGCGTACCTTAACAGTATGAGGTTTCCCTTGGCATGTCGACAGAAAGGGTGGAGAATCTGGACATCTACCACCATCTAGCAATAACAATGCTTCTCTTCCTCTTCTAGTGCAATGCCAAAGGGGGCCTGATATTTAAATAAGAACTAGATCCTCAAAATATAACACGCAAAATGTTAAGAATACTCCATTGTCATACTCACCTGTCATACAGAGAACTAGGAAAGTTTCAACTTGAGTGAGAAAAGACAACAGATGCCAACTCTGAGATGATGGAGATGTTAGAATTATCTGATAAGGATTTTGAAGCAGCCATCGTGAAAATGCTCCCATGAGCAATGACAAATATGATTGAATCAACTGGAAAAAATAAAAACTTGCAGGAAAAGAAAGTCTTACCAAATAAATGTAAGATATAAAAAAGAAAAGGATGGAAAGTTTATAACTAAAAAATACAAAACCCAAAGTCAAAAAGTCACTGGATGGGCTCAACAACAAAATATAGGAAATAATCAGTGAACTTCAACATAGAGAAAGAGTTGTTATCAAATCTGAAAAGCAGAGAGAAAATAGACTCGAAAAAATATGAAGAGCCTCTGGGTCTTGTAAGACTATAAGAGAAGATCTAATATTCATGTTATCACAGTCAGAGGAGAGAAGAATAGGGCAGAGCTGAAAAGTACCCCCAAAAATAATGGCTGAAGATTTCTCAAATTTGGCAAAAGTCATAGCTTACAACAGATTCAAGAAGCTGAGAGAATCACAAACAGGATATACCCAAACAAATCCATGTCAAGACACATCATAATCACAGTTTTGAAAGCTAAAGTCAAAGAAAAAATCTTGAAAGTGCTGGGAGAGAAACAACATCTTGCCTAATCTCACCAATAGGGGAATAACAGTTTGAAAGACAGCGTATTTCTCATTAGAAACCATAGACCCCAGAAGGAAGTAGCAAAATATTTCAGAGGAGTTAAAAAGATTGTCAATCCAGAATTTTATATCCAGTGAAAATATATGTCAGGAATGAAGCGGAAATCAAGACATTCTCAGATGAAGGAAAACTGATAATTTGTCACCAACAGACCTGCTGAAAACAATGGCAGATAGATTATGAGTAAAAGGATCAAGAATAATACCATGCTAACATTAATGAAAAGTATGCTGGAGTAGTTATGTTAATTTCAGACAAAGCAGAATTCAGAGCAAGGAAAAGGATCAGGGATAGAAAGGAGCAATTAAATAATGATAAAGTGGTCAATTCTCCAAGAAGACATAACAATCCTTAATGTGTATGTGCCTAACAACAGGGTGGCAAAATACTTAAGGTGAAAAATGATAAACCTGAAAGAAGAAATTGACAAATGCACTATTATATTTGGAGACATCAACAGCTCTCTATCAGTAATTGACAGACTCAGCAAACAGAGAATCGGTAACAAAGGATATAGCTGAACTCAACAGCACCGTCAATCAACTGGATATAATTGACATTTACAGACTACTTTAACACCAATAGAATACACATTCTTCTGAAACTCACATGAAACAGTTACCAAATAGAACACATCCTGGGACATAAAACCCACCCTAACAAATTTCAAAGATTGGAAATCATATTACTTATCAAAATTCATGGGATGCAGCAAACGCAATGTTTAGGAAAATTTATAACACTGACTGCATATATTAGAAAAGAATAAAGATCTAAAATAAATAATCTACCACCTGATTTAATCCAAAGGACGCAGAAGAGAAGAAATAATAAAAATTAGAGTTGAAAATAGTGATGTTGATAACTGGAAATTAATAGAGAAAATCAATGAAACCAAATGCTGGTTCATTGAAAATATCAATAAAATTGATAAACATTTACCCAGGCTAAAAAAAAAAAAAAAAAAAAGAGAGAGAGGACAAAAATTACGAATAAGCATAGAGCAGGTTCTGGAGGATTTCTCTCAGTGGAAACAAATCAGTCTTTCCCAGCTACAGTATGATGCTGCACATATTTTCATTAAAAATTCACTTATACATGTACTTGGTAGAGCCTATGTTGCAGGAATATGTCATCCTCCTATTGATTGAGGAGTTAATAATTTCCAAGGAGACTCTTGGTCTCTTTTTGCCCTCACGGTGGCCCATGAGTTAGGTCATACTTTGGGTATGCAACATGATGAAGAATTCTGTTTGTGTGGACAAGGTGGTTGCATCATGAATGCTGTCAGAGTGCCAGCAGAGAGATTCACCAATTGTAGTTATGCAGATTTTACAAAGACCGTTTTAAACCAAGGATCATGTCTGCACAGTCCTCCAAGTCCAGGGGAAGTCTTTGTGCTGAAGCGCTGTGGGAATGGTGTGGTTGAAGGAGAAGAAGAATGTGACTGTGGATCTATAAAGCAATGTGAACAAGATCCCTGTTGTCTGTTGAACTGCACTCTGAGGCCTGGGGCTGCTTGTGCTTTTGGGCTTTGTTGCAAAGACTGCAAGTTCATACCACCGGGAGAACTCTGTAGACATCAGGTCAATGAATGCGACCTTCCAGAATGGCACAATGGGACATCCCGTCAGTGCCCAGAAGATGGATATGTGCAGGACGGGATTCCCTGTAGTGACAGTGCCTACTGCTATCAAAAGAGATGTAATAACCATGATGATCAGTGCAGGGAGATTTTTGGTGAAGGTGCAAAGAGTGCATCTCAGAACTGCTGTAAAGAAATCAACTCCCTGGGAAACCATTTGGCACCAGTGGCCCTTATCTCCTGGAGGGGAAGAGAAATCATAGCTGAGGAGCAATCACAGGTGTAGATAAGAGTCCAAGAGCTCCAAAGACTTTTACATGCTCATCCAGAGCAAGTCTGTTATGCCGTCAGGGCTCAGGTGGGAAAACCCAGGACCATTCTACATGAGATGGTGACATCTGGGTGGATGCCCCTGAAGATGTTGGCTCTGCAGATCCATATGAACCCTCAAAGAACTGTCCCTATTTCTCTTCCTGGCTGCCTACCTTATATCTGGGCTGTTGTGCCATTCCCAACATGATCTGGCTGAAGATGTACAAACCCTGATAAGGGAGGGATGAGATTACACACTAAAGTAGCTGCAAGTAGCTTCAGCTAAGTGAAAAAAGACAATAATGAAGATAAGAATGGACATAAATAAAATAGGAAACAGAGAGCCGGTCCTGATAGCCTAGTGGTTAAAGTTTGGCATGCTCTGCTTTGGCCGCCTGGGTTCAGTTCCCCGGCATGGAACCACACCTCTCTTCTGTCAGTAGCCATGCTGTGGTGGTGGCTCACACAGAAGAACCAGAAGAACTTACAACTATATACAACTATGTACTGGGGATTTTGGGGGGGTAGGGGAGAGGAAAAAAGGAGGAAGATTGGCAACAGATGTTAGCTTAGGGCAAATCTTCGCCTGGATAAAATAAAATAGGAAATAGAAAACAGTAGAGAAAAATCAATGAAACCGAAAGCTGGTTCTTTGAAAAAGTTGAGTAAAACTGATAAATGTCTAGCTTGACAAATCAAGAAAAAATAAGAGTAACAAATTACTATTATCTACAGTGGAAGAGGATATATTACCACAGATCCTTATGTTATTAAGACAATAGTAAAATATTATGAACAAACTGATGTTAATATTTTGATTATTTTAATGAAATGGACAAATTTCTTGAAAGATAGAAACTTTCATAGATCACTAAAGAAAGTGATAATCTAAATACTCATAATAATAATCTAAATATAATGTGTACCTATATGTAAGTATATTTTATTATGTTATAAGTATATATACTTATATATATACATACTTATAAGTTATATAAGTTATACTTACAAGTTCACCTGTAAGTGAACTTGTGAAATTTAATTTATAGTCAGAAACATATCCTGGTCTAGATTCCTTCATAGATTATTACACCAAAAATTTAAGTAATAAATAATGATACCAATTCTATACAAAGTCTTCCAGGAAATAAAACTGAAAAGGAAGCTTCCCAACACATTTTATGAAGCCAAGCATTAGCTTATCACCAAAAGCAGATGAAACATTATAAGACAAGAAAATTCCAAACCTCTATCCTTCAAGAACGCAGGAAGAAACATGCTTAGCAATGCACTAGAAAATCAAATGTAATGATATATAGAAAGCATAATACTTCATTACCAAGTGGGGTTTATCCTAGGGAGGAAAGGTTTTATAACACTCAAAATGCAAACATTGTAATTGACCATTTTGAGAATAAAAAATGAAAACGATGTGATCATCTAAATAGATGCAGAAAATATATTTGGTAAAACTCAACACCACTCATGAGGAAAAAAGAAATACCCTTTGGCAACGTGGGAATGGAAGAGAATTTCCTCAACTTCCTAAAGATCATCTAGGAAATACCTTCAGCTACCAAAATACTTAATGCTGAACACTGAATGTCCACCCACCTACAACTGAGGAAAAGTAAAAGTGTCCATCTCACCACCTCAGTATAACCTTGTACTGGAGCTTCTACACAAGGGACTAGGGTAAGATAAAGAAATAAACAGCAAACTTGGCAGTTTTTTTTAAAGTTAATCTGGCTAAGAGTTTGCCAATTCTGTCAATTTTTTCAAAAAGACCCAACTCTTCCTTTTCTAGTTGTTTGCAGTATAAAGTTAGGTTGTTGATTTGAGATATTTCTTTTTAATGTAAATGTTGACAGCTGTAAACTTCCCTCATAGCAAAGCTTTTGCTGCATTTCATAAGTTTTGATATGTTGTATTTTTCATTTCGTTTGTCTCAAGATATTTTCTAACTCCCCTTGTGATTTGTTCTTTGACCCATTGGTTGCTTAAAACTGTGTTGTTTAATTTTCACATACTTGTGGATTTTCCTGTTTCCTCCTGCTATTGATTTCTAGTTTCATTCCATCATGATCAGAAAGATACTTGGATTTCAATATTTTAAAATTTGTTAAGACTTATTTTGTGGCCTAACGTGGTGTATCCTGGAGAATGTTCCATGTGCACTTGAGAAGAATGTGTATTCTACAGTTGTTGGAGAGAGTGATTTCTACATGTCCTACAGATCCTATAAAATGTTAAAAGTGGAATTATAAATCAAAATTACAATAATACACATTTTTATATTTGTCCACGTATTTAGCTCTACCAGAGAACTTTATACTTTTGTATGGCTTTCAGTCACTGTCTGTAGGGGCAAAGGCAAGCTAAATGCCACAAACTTTTTTATTCTTTTTGAGGCAGTCCTTTCTTGGCTGACCATTCAGCTGTGTGTTGCAGTTTCTTAATTGGTTTCTAGAGTCCTTGTAAAGGTATTTCGGTCCACATAGTGTTATTAACTCAGTATCTCCATAGGGGAACAAGGGTGTCAAGCATCTGAGTTTGCCATCTTGCTGATATCTCAAAATTTTCTTGTCGGGCAATTATGCTGGCAATAAATTTGTTCAGTTTTTGTTTGCTTGAGAAAAATCTTTATTTCTCCTTCATTTTAAAATTAAACTTTATATTTAAAGATAACTATAGATTCGCATACAGTTGTAAGAAATAATACAGAGAGATCCCACGTACTCCTTATGCTGTTTCCTCAAATAAAAACATCCTGCAGCCCTTAGTATAAGACAACCACAGCATGGATATTGATACAGTCAATATAGAGAATATTTCCACCACCACAGCATCTCTCACATTGCCCTTTTACAGCCAAGCCCAGTTCCTCCCCACCCCCAGCCACCCCTTAACCCCTAGCTACCACTAATCTGTTCTCCACTGCTATAATTTTGTAACATAAGAATGGAATCATACAATATGGAAATTTTCAGAATTGTCTTTTTCCACTTAGCATAGTCTTTTGGAGATTCATCCAGGTTATTGTACGTATTGTGAGTTCATCTTTCTTATATCTGGATAGCATTTCATGGTATGCATGTACCACAGTGTGTTTAACCACTCACCCACTGAAGGACACCTGGGTTGTTTCCAATTTGGAGGTATACAAATAAAGCTGCTATACACATTTGTGCACATGTTTTTGTGTGATCTTCATTCTTCTGGGATAAATGACCAGACATGAAATTCCTGAATTGTATATTAGCTGCCTTTATAGTTTTCTTTTTTGAAAACTGCCAAAATATTTTCAAGAGTGATTGTACGGTTTTACATTCCCACCATTAATGTACAAGTTATCCCATTTCCTCACCTTGTTATCACCATTTGGAGATGTCACACTTTTTCACTTTTAGCCAGATATTGGAGGAAGCTAGAAGAATTGAAAATTCACAAGAGTGTGCTATAATTTTCTGTTTAAACATAAAATTTCTCTCTACAGTCACCCTCCTTTTTGATCAAAGATAACCAAAGTAAGATTATTCTTGTTTACAAAATAAGTTTA